ACTATACGTATTTACATTGTCTACCGATATCATTATTATCACTTAGTCGCTATCTGTGGTTTGAGACGACAACAAAATTACGCATGATGCGAAAGTTAAATTTTATTTATTCATTACTGTTTTTGATGCTTTCCAGTAATATCAGATACAATTATGCATTTGTTTAATAAACCTTGCACTGTGTTATAATCAGCATTTATCATAGCTCGGAGGCTACGTAAATTATTTATACTGGCAGTACTGATAACTAACGCTGGTCGGATATTTCGCATTTCATGTACTTCCAACAGAATATGGCTATAACAAAGCACTTAACACATACTAGAAATTTCATACCTTCTCAGTATCCAAAGTGTCAAGCAATGACGATAATACGCATACGATATTCGTGAAAAGGAAGGTGTAAGACTCGTTTTTCACTCATTACATGAGTGCGGACATCCATCATTAAATTTTTGACCGGCGGCTATGGAAACCAAGGAGCATCTAGTCTTGATGGACAAGTGGAGGGATATTCTAGTATAATCTGCGAACAGGGAACAACATGGCCCATCACCAATGTTTGCGTCCCGTGTCATGCCGTCTGCCGTCTGAACTAAGGATGACGACTACAGATTAAATGATGTGACGAAAATTACAGAAATTTGTTCAGAAACGTTTGTCCACTCGATACTGAGCCATCGATTTCAGCGTATAATTCCAGAACGTTCGCGAACTTCGTCAAGTATATACAACTACAGTTTAATTTAAGAAGGTCATATGATTTTACAGAATAAAACAACAATTTGACAATCATACTTCAAGAATATCAGTAGGTAGTGATGTAGTCTCTATTATAATACCTTAAACAGTTTCGCGGAAAATAGATGACGAACTGTCCCCTAACCCGGGGTATATTTTCTTTCTAAAGGTTGAGTTTCCCGGCTACGGTTGAGCATATTACGGATCAGAAACGGACTGGGGAAACTTTTAGAAGGATTTAGCTTTAAAGCGAACTGATGCATGGTTACCGTTTGCCGCCGTTATCTCCAACGTCTTACCACAGCAACGTCTGTATGGAAGGTATGTTCTTGTTTGGGCAAAATTTTCTCACATCAAAGCGCCGGCCATTTACATGAACAAACTACAACCATCTTCTAAATATCCGCGGTTACAACGAAGAACATTACTGCCCCAATGGCAGTGAGCAGCGACGCACAGCTTCAATCTTGGACAGCAACAGAAACAAGTCAAATGTCCCTGCTTTGTGCAATTACGCGCAAAATTGCATAATGCATTAAAAAGAACAAGGTTCTTAGGTAAACTGCATCACATAAATAAAATATTTGCACACATAAATAACTGGTTCAAATACCTGTCGCAGTTGCCAACCGAATTCTGATCAATGTTTCCGCTGCATTCACACAGCTGACAACTCAGGTTCGAAATAGGATCACCAAAAAAGCCGTCCGCGCATGCGTCGCAGCGCCGCCCTATAAAATAAACAAATAAAATTCATTTAAAACCAGTGGATCAAACGTCAAACATCATTCAAAAACTGCTGCAGATGGAAGGTATTAAGAAGAGCAATAAAGCAAAACTTTATGCTATAAGAGAAATAAATAGTCTGTTATATGAAAGGAGGAGAGAAGGCAACGTAAAGTTAGAAAAAACAGAACAAACTGTGCTGATAAAATCTGATGTCACCTCCAATCTATGAGGTGACCTAAACATTATATGTCATAAGTACGACAAAGTGAAATAATGCTGCTGTCAATGGGATGAATTCGAAATTTATGAAAAAATTCAAGCCCTTAGCAGGTAATTTCCTTATTAGAAACAAGACTTGATTGAAGGACCCTTGTTGGTAATAAAATGAGATCATCATTGCCCATTCACAATACATACCTTCGTCTGTCCCGTGCGATTTGTCGTCGAAAGGTTCGATACCTAATTTTGTAGATCACTGTTCCATGTTTTCCAATTCGACGCTTCCAGCCCCTTGGGTATCAGTCCGTTACAGCTAAAATCCGATGGTCATCCGTCAGTCGTGCGACGTGCCCTGCCAAATGCTTTTCGAAACTTCTTACATTCTAGTTTACTTTTTTATTTCTTCATTTAATAGCTCATCCCTGATGAAACTAACTACCATTCTTCTTTCAATAGCCCGCTGTTGCAGTCTTTTAACATTTCTTCATCCATTTTCGTTAATGCCGTGTTTTCGCAGGTGGCAACATCGTACAGTGTTGTTCCAAGAGTAACTGATGAAACTACCGGTTTTAAAGAACGCCCGCGTTTGGCCAGTATGTGCTCTACGATGCCTTCCGATGAGTTAAGCGCCAAAGGACTGATCAGAGATGATTAGCTGCATCTGGCAAACATACCTGGCAAGTTTTATGTTGTTTGCACTCACTGATGGCATATTGATCAAGCTTGTTGCGGAATTCGTTTCTCATTATTTTCGTCTTCGCCTTGTCGAACCAAAGTCCAACTTGCTTAATTTTATCTAACGTAACAGAGCTTCACTATTCTCCTTTTACCTTCTGATAAGGTGAGCAAATCGAAGATGTGCGAACCTTTCGGCATCTGATTCAAAATTTTCCAAGCCGTTTCATTTTACGGAACAATGACTCAAGATATGAGTCAAACTGTTTTGGCAACATGACATCTCCCTAACGAACTCCATTAGAAACACTGATTTCAAGTGGATCTTCCAACAGCTGAATACTCTTGCCACAGCTTGAGCATACTCTCTGTAGAATTGGATTATATCCTCCTTTACCTTGCATTTTTGACGCATAATCATGATCTTCATGATCCTCAAATGAAGGAATGGAGTGCCATTTCCGCTGTCTTCTACACCGTTCTTGCATTGCCGTTTCGAAGGACAGACATAATATATTATCTAGATTAATCTGCTGCTAAAATTTTGCTAACCTTTAATGATAATGACAAAACAACATGTCGAGTGCGTCTTCACAATCGACGACGATCATACAGATGAGTAATCTGTACTCACTATACTTTCTAAGCAGCCGATTCCATACTTGGAAGAGGAAGAGGGTTAAAAAGGTTTCGCGGAATCAAACCCGCTCGACCGACTATTGCTCGTCCAATTTTTCGCTTAAGGTCTATAATTTTTAAAGCCTTCTATATCACTTTTCTTGTAATGCAATACAGCTCCCTGTAATTACGATAATTTATGGAAATTTACGCAACACAACTAACTGACCTTGCAGTCCAGTCTTATCGTCTGTCGTGAAAAAAACTATCTGTGTTCCGGAGAGATTTTGGGAAAACTCATTTAAGGAATAGAGTCTGAAATATACTGAAATGCCGAGAGATGAGAAATTTGCTGAACTGTGCAAGTGAGCCTAAACATAGGTCAACAAACACTGCCTTTTAAAGCAACAGTCATAAATTTCTCTAAAGTGTAACTACATCATGTTGCACACATGTCTCACAGAAACGAGGCAGAATTTTACGATTAACATTTTTTAAAGTTTTATTTCGAACCAGGAATTAATCTAGTATTTTTGTATCAAATCTAATTGTTCAGTCTTCAACTAAAACGGCTGCAACTGAAATGATAGAGAAAGTTTAAACCGGTAACTTTAAAGCATAACCGGTTCTACTGTATCATGCGCAGATCTGGTCTCGTCTGATCAGCCATTGTTCTTCGGTTGTACCGAAGTGACAGGCAACCTTTAACCTGGTGCTTTTTACCATCATGCACTACGTTTAGTGCTCAACAACTTTTATTTATACCGTGACAATTGAATTACGACATACCGCCGTATCCGTTAGGACAGTCGATGCAAATGATGTCACCGTCGGTGTGTAGTATACACGGACCGTTATTCGGGCATGGACAAACGCGGCAGTCTTCGGCTGACCCGTTCAAAGCGTTGCCGTAAAATCCACGAGCACAGCGTTCGCAGTTGTTTCCAGCCGTGTTATGTTCGCAGATACATCTTCCTGAAACGTCGAGTAGTATTCAACAAATAAGGCGGCGAAACAGGCGAAAGTCGGCAAAACACTACACATAGGTAAACAGTAAGTAACTGAGGGTTTCAATTATTTTTTAGGGCAACACCTTACGATGCGTTGTCACAGTGAACACTCAGATAGGTGTCACAGCGAACACAATCCTATGAGGCGACTGCGTCACACCACGCCAGAATACCGTGCTGTCACTGCCGTTCGACTTGCTACCTGTTTCTCGATTGTTTCACCGAAGCAACGTAGGGTAAATTCTATGCCCAATCGAATCAGCGGTTAAGACATATTTCGTCCTTTACAGTATTGGAACTCTGCACCTGCGGAGTTACAATCCGACCTCTCTATCGTTGTGCAACCACGCAGCAATTTTGTAACAACAGATATTATGAGCCGATCAGAATGGCAATTTGCATCTCCTAGCTCTGATCACTTTATCAAAGATAAGACAAATGCGACTGAATGTTTGTGTATTCACGGCGTTCGTGGACCAACAGAGATATGGATTATAGACGGAGTAATGGAAATTACGTACAGGTACGGGATAGTGCTGTGGTCAGGTCATGCAGAGAGACTTCATAGAGCTAAGAGGATAACCAGAGTTACGAATGACTGATTCA